CACACACACACACACACACACACACACACACACACACACACGCACACGCACACACACACACACACAAGAGACACCCAAACAAGCACACAAGGAAGGTCAAGAGAAGTGCATTGCAATAATATCTGGTCAGAAATCGAGCAATGCACTGGCAATGGCAGAAAGATTTACAAACGATCTTGGAAGGAGGAGTCCACAGGTGGTCTGTTTTGTTCGTTCTTACCTCTGATATACTGCCACATAAATGAGTAAAAAAATAACAAGTCGTCAAAACAATGGCAGACTGGCCTTCCACTACACGGAGGACGAGTTCCCCCTCCCTCCCCAGGCCCACAGTAGCCATCCATGTGCATTTCCCTACATAACAGAAAGATCGCTTCAATAGTGCAAACTCCTTCCTCCCTAAATCCTCTTGTGTGCGGTTGCGCCCTCCGCCAAAATGCAGTCTGCGGCGGGCTGCTTAGATGGATTCGCCGCAGCTTCCTCAGCCGCGGGTCAGCAGCCATTGGATTTGCCCGTCTCCATTTGGAATCGATAACCACAACCCTCTCGAGCGCGCCAAGTTCATTGCCTGTGTCCTGTGCCTCCCTTTCCGTACCCACAGCCACCCGTTCCTCCTCCATCTGTGCGATCACCTCCTTGAGGGGTTTGGAGATCCCTTGCCCGGGCAACAACACTGCCGTTTTGCTGAGGTCGTATAACGGAAGCTCCATTTTCGACGGTGGCATCCGACGATGGTGCGTGTTTCCGCTGGCGTGCCGGAAAACTCGCACCCAATTCGGGGCAAGAATCTCGGCCTGTACCCCCGTCGCATTGTTGTTCTCCTCACCGTGCTGGATGATGTCCACAAAAAACGGAAGCTTCAGTCGCGGTATCGGCTTGACGAGAGGAACAATGCAATCATAGCAAAAGAAGAGTCGGAATTTGCCGCAGACATGACAGCTCTGCCGGGCTTGTGCGTCGACCAATGGCGCTTGCGACGACAACAGTAGCGAATCGTGGAAATCCGCGGAAACCTCATCAACAGCGCCATCGTCCAATCTGCACTGATCTGAGAGTCCGCTTCTCCTACCGTTTTCATGCGGTTCATCTCTCTCATGACTAACAGAATCCTCCCCCCGCTCTCCCGTCCCTCTAACATCCCTTTTCCCTGAAGACAACCTCTGTTTCACTTCGTCAATTGGCGTCGACCCAGCTGTCACTTTCACTGTTTTCAGGATTCTGCTCAATCCCTGTGTCTCTCCTCCTGCAAGGTAGATCATCTTCTGATTTCTTGCTCTCTCTCTCTCTCTTTCCCTCCTCAATGACTCTTCTTGCTTCTGCTTCCTCAATTCTGCACGCAGCTCATTTTGCTGCTCCCGCAATCTTAACCCCCTAATGCGAGCCCGCTCCTCTTCCATCGAGACTTCATTCTCAATAGACCACACGAGACACTCCGATCCAGTGACACCAGAGGCGTCATCACAGGCAACATCCATACTAAGCCAGCCAGCTTGCCCATCTTCAGCCGCATTATCGTCAAGCTCCACATCTTTCATGTCATTGACATCTCTCCTCCATCCTACACGCCCCGTGCCTGCATGCTCTTGTATCTTGCACTCCTGCATAAGCAAGCTTCTACGTGGGACTTAGAGCAAGCTAGTGCTGCAGTCAACAACTGCATGAACAAAGACACAGGCCAAGACTATATAAGGAAGTTCTGAGGGAAAAAGCTTAACCAAAAAAAGAACTCAACGAGGTTCAAATATCAATGGGGAGAGCAGAACAGGGCTAGTGAATGAAGGGCAAGGAGGCAACGCATGCCAATCACATGCTAGCCCAATCTCAGGTAGGCCATCACAGAGCGGAATTGAGCAAAGTTTCTTGGTTTTCCGCAACGGCGCAGCCAATATTCCCTCTCTCTACAGGCAGGCGCTGACGGGGCCTGATCCATAGTTAAGGGTGTTTAGACGTTACAAGATCTGGTCTGCAACAGCTCACTCCGGCGGCAATCCTGTTGCCGAACTTTCCATACCACATGTGAAATTCTTTTCTCCACTGCACGCTGCTGTGTCTTTTTTTTTTTTTTTTTTTTTACTTTTTGGTCACCATTTCTCGATTTCTGCATGCCATCCTTGAGCCGGGGTCATGCTAATCTTTTTGATGTATTGTTCCAATTTTAAGTTTTAACGGATGTCCAGAAGAACACGCTGCTGTGTCTGTTGTTCCTGTGTGTTTTAGATTTGCACCACAACAGCCCAAATGAGTACATCCAAAATTAAATCCAAAATTAAATCCGCTTTACCTCTATACTGCAGACAATGAAGCACACTTGAGATGAGCCAATCCAAAAATGAGACAGTTTTACTTCTATACTAGTCTATAGCAAGAAAGATGGGGCACAACATAGATCAAAGGTGGCAACTGGGTAACCGTTGCCCATACCCGACCGTACCCAACTGTAACCGGCAGGTTATGGGCAGGTACGGGTACCCTTCCGGAGGGGGCCATCGGTATGGGCAGGCATAAATTTTATTTGTGGATTTCAGGGCAGGCACGGTTGCACTGCGTGGAGATCACGGGCAGGCATGGGCGGGTACTGGTGGTGAAAAGGGAAAAAACGCAGGTATGGGCGGCCAAGAAAAAAAAAAGCATGGGTACAGCCGTTATAGGGTGGTGAAAAAAAAATCAGATGGGTATGGGCGGGTAAGCAATTCTGTCGGGTAACCGTCGGTAATATCCACCTTCCCCCCCTCTTTCCAGGAAATATGCAGACCGGCGGAGCTGTTTTTTTCTTAGGCACAATTTCTTCCCCTGGCGCGAACGACGAGAAAAAGATTTCAGGAAATAGCCTCCCAACTTCAAAATTGGCCACTTTTGAAATTGGAAGGCTCCAGCCTCGCCTCAGGGAGTTCCCCCTTGGAAATTGGCCGCCCGTCATGGTTGTACCCACCGCACCTCTGTGTGTATGCCACTGCATGACCATCATCCGCCCACCGTGGTTGTACCCGCTGCCGTTCTGTGTGTGCTGCATGGCCGAGAGAGAGAGAGAGAGAGAGAGAGAGAGAGAGAGAGAGAGAGAGAGAGAGAGAG